AACTGAATGAAAAAGAGTCCTACATATGCGATACTGGAGATCGGAATTTTAATGATAAATATTAATGTGTTCGGCGATTTAAGACGTTAAATTAACGTCGTAATTAACTTATTCCTTATTTAAAGGCGCTGAATTAACATCATGCAATTAGTTTGTGTAATATTATTATATTCAAATCACTAAGATAGCGCCTTGTTCAACATTTCATGCGCTGAATTGCATTAAGGTATTGCTAAATTTGAATTTCCGCCAAAAAACTTGCCAAATAGTATGAGTAAAATTATAAAAATGCAATATTTCCTGCGCTGAATTGCTTTATACTCCAGCTGAATTGTACTCTCTACCAAAAATAAGTTAAATACAGTACGTGAGATTTTAAAAATTTCATGTTATGTAATACAAATTTAAAATTTCATGCGCTGAATTGCTTTAAACTCTAGCCGAATTTTATTTTCCATCAAAAATATGTCAAATATTGTACGTGAGATTTATAAATTTAATGCTATGTAATAAAATTGCAGCTTTTGATGCGCTGAATTCGATTCAGCAGTAGTTGAATTGTGTTTTCCATCAAAGGAACATGTCAAATATTATACGCAACATCATAGAAATACGATATATAATATCTTCTCAGCTGAATAGTAAGCTTAGTCAGCTGAATTATGTTTTTATTCAAGATGTCAGTAAATGCTTAAAGCATAAACAAACGGCAGCGATCCGTATCAACTCGGGAACTAACTGCAGTTGATCCAGATTAAGTCCGAGATAAACGCTGCCGTCTGTTTAAGCTTTTACAAAAAGTAACAAAAATATTATGCTGACATTGCGAAGAACCCTAAGGCTATTTTTAGAATGGGAACTGAAAATATTTATCTCTGGTAAATAACGGAACTCATCATAATAATTGTTTCTCTTCTTTTCCTGCTTACAGCTAACGTCCTGTGTCGCGCATGAGCTTACAACGCCCGACTTGGAAGCTTTTGCTAACTATGAGGTGAGTACTTTAATTACAAAAAACATTGCAGGTGTTAAAAGTCTTTACGCCTCTCCCTCTACTACCACAGGACATGCGTCGCTACATAGCCTCGCGTAGTCAGCGTTCCATGCGTGTCATTGATAACCCCACACATGACAGCTATATTATGGCTTACAATGAGCATCACGAGCTCGCGGGACGTGAGCGTCAAAGACGGGCAGCGACAAATGCTCATAAGATACCTAAATTGCCGAGTGAACCGCAGTTGGTTAAATTTGAGATTAGCGACGCAATCGAGCCCAGCGCCGAAGTGAAGGAGCTGATAAGGCAACATCGCAGCCGCGAAGAGAAAGAGACGAATGCAACGAGTACGAATATGTCTACTAAAAGCGGCAAAGTTAAATCCACCACAACAACTGAAGCGACGACAATCGAGGTGATTACTGGTAGAACCAAGTCCAAAGCCACCACTGTGGTACCGAAAAGACCCACACGTGGCACTCGCGTAAAAATTACGCGCAGCAAACGTCTCAAACGCGCTGCCACTACCAAAGCAGTGCCCGATAAACGGCGATTTGATTTTCAAGTAAAGCTAATACCCTTCGATATCTCCGATGCACGTGAGCCCGACGAACAGACAAAAGAGCTAATACGACACATGCGCACGCTGGAGTTACAAAAAGTACTTAGTAGTGTTTCCACTAGCACTGTAGCGCCAGCAGCAATACGCGTCTACCGCAATGCTCCCGCGACGATTGCTACCCAACCGCTACGCGCACCAGTGCCCATCTTCAATCCGAGCAAATACTACCGGCCGAAGACGGGTAAATTTTTCATGAAGCGCAAGGGTAAACGCGTGAAGCGCTCGACGCCACAGATGATACGCTTCGAGTTGGAGGATGCACGCGAGCCAGACACCACTACATTGGAGCAGCTGCGATTTGCAAGGCAAAGTCACGCGCAGACAAAAAACAAACGCGCTAATGACGGGGAAGATAATATTACAGTTATTAACAAACGTGAGGCGCGCATGGATACCAAGTCGGCGCCGCCGGTAGAGTCGCCTGTTAAGGAAGAGGTTGACGAGGGTGAGACTGACTTGAATGCTGGCGAAAGCAAGCGGCTGTACGTGTACAAGGAAGTGCCTGTTGTCAAGGCGAAAAAATCAATTGGCTCGCTGCCGGTGGAAGTGCAGAAGATCATAACAAATCTGATGAAGGATCATGGCGCCAGTGGGGGTGGTCCTGGTGGCGCTAAGGCCTACGTGAAATACATACCATCGCATATGGTTGACTATCGCCAGCTTAAATCCCTCTACGGCGCGAAACTCGCCTTGCCGCCAACCTACAGCGTCGGTGGTGCGGGTAAACTCTCGCCCGCCTCATACATGAAGTACATGCCGCCTCATCAGAAGGGCGAACAGCTGCAAGTGCAGATTCATCCGGTACCAGTTGTGGAAAAGATACGATATATATATACGCCAGTAGCGAGTATACCCGCAGGACATGGTTATGGAGGTGGTGGAGGCGGGCATGCAGCTGAAGAACACGCTGCAGCACAGGCAGCCGCTGCACATGCCGTGCAGGCGGCCTATGCCGGCCACAATGTCCACGCAGTCGCTGAGGCGCAGGCTGCACAGGTCGCACATGCAGTGAAGGTAGCTCAGCAAGCCGCTGAGGCTTATGGGGCAAAGGCAGGTGGTGAAGATGAGTCCGCTGGTCATGAAGGTGGCGCGATGGAGCACCCAATAGTGGTGCATGAGGGTGGTGGTGCAGCTCAACAGCACGTGGCTCCATTAGAAGTACACCACACCTACGCCGCCGAAGAAGAGGAGCCTGTGGCAGTAGCTATAAAAGCAGTGCACTTCAAACCCTCGAAGCCGGATCCGTTGCTAAATGAAAACAAACTCTCAGAGGCGGCCGCAGTCGAAGCAGGTGAACACGGCGGCTATGGCGGGTATGGCGGCGGTACATCTGAGCACGAGAGCGAAGGCCACATCCAGGCTGGTCAGCAACCCGCTGAACAATACAAATACGAAGTGGTAGCCGCGCAGCCGCAAAAGGAAGCTGAACCACCACTTATTAAAATAGAGTACCATGGCCCAGCGGATGCTATAAAACAGAACTTCAAAGAGTTACCCGAATTCAAGCAACTCTCTACGTTAGTCGGAAAATCGACTGAGGATCAAATACACGGTCTCACCTACTTGTTGGCCAAGGAAATGCAGAATAAATTGAAGATGCAGCGCAAGAAGTTGCAGCTCGGGGAAGGCCATGGCGCACACGGCAACACAGCACCCATAGTTTTCCCCCACGAATATCCACCGCTTGCCAAGGTAAAACAGCAGCAATTGCAAGCGCATGGCGGCGGCGGCATTCATGGACGTCTAATCGGCATGGCCAAGTCAAAAGAGTACATACCAATCGTGGAGCAAGCACCTGCAGGTGAACAAAAGGCGGCTGCTGATAGCACCGGCAGCGGCGAGTCAGAAGGCCATAGCTCGGTACATCGCATTGCTATACCTGCTGCCAAGCAATATGTCGCCATTAAGGTCGAGCCGAAAGCGCCATTGCCACACTCGTTTGTCGAATACGGGCTCTCACCCAACTACCACGGCTTAAAAGGCGCTGGTAAAGGTGCTGAAAGTGGAGAAGGTGGCTATGGTGGTCAGAAAACGAAATTATTAGTTGAACAAGTCATACATCATCCGAAAATGAAATATCATGGAGGCGGCAGAGCTGTGCAAGCGAAAGCAATTGCTGCC